CACAAAAACGCCGCTCATAAAGGTCAGATTTAAGAACAAATGATAAGGAACGTCAGAACTCCACACCAACTCGTATTTGGGGCCAACGCGGCATTTACCAGATAGAGCAAGAGCTTAGTTTTTGCGGTCTGTCCTTGTCTCACAGGTACCCATCCCCCTTCTTTCCCGCCTAAACTAGACCTGGAAGATCGGCTACTGTCACGATGCAAACTCTGCATTCCCTCGAACTCGAAAGTGGCTGTGTGATGAGAGAGATCTCCCTCACCCTGGCGTTTGTCATCTATTTTGATATCGGTTTCGTTCATTTACGCCGGGAAGTTCAGACAGAAGTTTGAAGTTTGACCTTCAGAAGTTTGACCTTAAATGTCAACGTTTATCAGGTCGAAAACCTCGCTCTTCCTAGAGTTCGCGTTGGATAATCTTTTTGGACCCGTTTTGTCCCATTTCATCTATTATTTTTGCTTGCATGACTTTCGCCGTCCTTTGATTTCGAATTCGACCCTGAGGGCCAACCGCTGTCGCACAACAGACCTCCATCTCGTAGATCTCTGGGTCAGGAAGTTAGCGAAAGCAAAACAAAAAGTTTATCAAAAGCGTAAGCAAAATTGAGCGAGCCTAAGCGAAATTTCAGCAAAAGCGAACGTCGTGCTGAAATCCGAATCCAAATACGAACCCGAATACTTTGGATTCGGATTTCGCTTAATACTTCGGTCGCTAACTTTGGCAATGAAAGCGGCACCGGTAGAAGGCGGGTGGAGGCAGACGACCATGGTGCGATGGTCAGCGGTGGTTTTGCAAGACACGTGCACTGCGGCTCAGAGGTCAGAAACGTTGGCGATTATATGGTCACTGAGTAGGCCGGAAGGTCCAGTGTGCGTCGGCGTCGTCACGAGCCGCAATAGATTGGGTCGTTCGGCGCTGCCAGTAGAGGACTTTCCAGATTCGCCAGGCTTCCCAGAGACCACGTGCGCCTGCAGCTGGTCGTGCAGACCATTCACGGCGTCAGTGAGAGGAGACGGGGCCGGCAGACTTCAACGATCGTCCAATGTTCAACGTTCAATGTTCTTTGCCAGTCAAAGTGACCGACGGGACCTTGCACGAGCCGGTGCCCGTTGTCGAGAGGACGGTCGCGTTCGGGGATTCCCCGGTGCCAGACTGTCACATCAGCGGCGCGACCGGAGTCGGCGCGACGCGGCGCGGTCCCTCCCCCGCCCCCCCCCCCCCCCCCCCTGCCGCCGGAAGCAGTCGGACGGACCCCGGTGCGAGATTGCATTCGGGGAAACAAGAGTAAGCTACCCCAGACTCGATTCGCAATCCAGGTCATTAATTACCGGCGTTGTGCCTCGTCAGGTCAAAGGTCAGATCGATGCGATCCAACAAAACTGCGTACTTCCGAAGAAACATCAGATACTTATTAAATGGTGTTCAAATCGACAAATCATGCCAGTTGTACCTGACGTTACGAATAATTCTAGCCGCTATATCCGTGAAAAGTGGTGATATTGACTGACACCTGTCTGTGATCCCCACAGGTTACATTGTCCTACAAGTGACAGGTAATACTCTGTCATATAGGATATATATATATATATATATATATATATATATATATATATATATATATATATATATATATACATCATGCACACACGCGTTTCGGGAAGGGCCTGGTGAAGCCCCAAGGAATTGTCGGTGGTGCTTAAAAACTAGTCATACGAACGACCTTCGGGCTCTTTGTTCGCAGGTACATGCATAAAGTCGTCGTGTATCGTACCTCCACAAGAAACCTGTAGTTAGAAATCTGTACGGACGCGCCCCGGGAATAATTTCTAAGGATCAGATGGTTCTACCTGCTACATGCGGCGTTGAACATTGTAACACAGATACTCGACTGAGTGACTCCGATCCCGTGTCAGGCGAATTCAGCCTTAGCCCATTCTGTGTTCTACCATTCTCAGACCGGTCAGTGAACAATGCGAGGACAGCTCAGGTTAGCATTGTTGCACCCTTTTTCCAGCGTTAGACAATAGTATTTATCTTGACTTTTCGAGAGCACCGTCACTTCCGACGACCTGAGTCGACCTTCGTCGCGCTCCCTGCTAAGGCTAGTGAAGGTCGAGGAGATGTAGGATGATTAGGAAAAATCACATCACCGGTGTGCCATCTGAGCGCAATGGACCACGACTTTTTTAGCACGGCGTCACGGAGCGTCGCGGCCATCCCAAGCTACACAGGTGGACCATTTCAAAGCCGTTGGGTGACAAAATGCAATTCGAAATGCTTTTTGTCTTTTCAGCGCACATATGCGCCATGTCAAACCACAGAAACAATGGAACGACTCCAGCGGTTCCACACGTACGGGTGGTTCAGCTAGGATCAGACAGAAAAAACGATATTGAAATGAGGGAAAGATGAGCCTGGATGGCCCTCTTCGCTCGCTTTTAATGGCCCGCGAGCAAACTTTAGAATGCCTCGTGGCAGCGAATCACTTCTGGGTGACATCTGCGAGTTCCGAATCAGTGCCTTGTCCGTGACAAAAATCAAAGTTTGGGACGAAGCGGGAACTTTGCACACGAGAGCCAGAAGTGATGCTGTGCACTGTACACCACGATAAGGTCTGTTGACAGCAGGTTGATATTTCGGCTGTTTGCCCAAAGAATCGGCTCTAGCAAACATTCGTTTTCCTGATCAAGGTTGTAGATGTCGGAGAGCCCATGCCATTTTTAATATTATTGGGAAATAAACAATGATCTATATGTTATTGCCGTTGGGTTAGCGTCATGCTTCTAACGCACGGTTGTTTGTCGTTCGCGTTTGGCATGAAAACACGACACGAAACACAAGTTTGATGCAACGATGCATTCAATTAAATTGGATAGATGAATGACACTTGTCAGCTAGACTAGCGCCTGGCAGTCTACGCCAATTGTGTCCCATAACTCTGCGTCACCCATTTGTTCATCCGTGGCCAGTGAATCTGGTCTGAACGGCCGCCCGGCAAGGATGAGTGCGGTGCCGCACGACTCATACCCGGCGGGGTGTGTGTGCTCCCCAGCAGATGGCAGCTCGGTCGTCGGACCAGCCTCATCAGCGGAGAAACCCTCCACCCTCCCCCAGGGCGTCGTGAGCCGCGGGGCACACGCCGCCGTCGCTCGCAGGTGTGTGGCCCCTGAGTCTGCGGGCTGTTACCGTGGGCTGGGTGCGGTAAGACCCCACCTCGCACCTGTGACTCAGGCCTGGCGTAAGGAGCGCTATCTATCCCGTGACGCGCCGGCCGCCCGGGGCCTATCGGCGGGAGGAAGTGTCCCGATTATCGTCTGGGGTTAAATAGACCGGCAGGTGGCCGAGGGAGCTAGTTCAGGCGCAGCCGGCGGAGGACCCGAGACAACATGAGGGCCATCCAGCTCCTGCCGCTGCTGGCGGCGGCTCTGCTCCCACCAAGCGAGACGTCACGCTGCGACAGCTACAGGTACACGCCCGCGTACATCAGCTGTCTACAACAGGGCGGAGCCGTCGAGAAGCGGGCGGTGCAGGAGGCCCGCAGCGACTGCAGAGCGTGCCAGTCCGCGCGGCACGTGCGGACGCTCGGCTGCGGACGGGACCGCCTGAAGATCATCGAGACCACCTGTGTAGACGCGGGCTCCGCGTGCTGCGACGGCGCCACGTGCCAGACGATGTACAGCTCCGTCAGCTACAAGCAGGGCGGCAAGCTTATCCGCGAGTCCGTGGCGATGGCCTGTCTGTGCGTCGCCCCCTGGGATGGTGTCGCTGACCAGGTCAACCCCGGTCCGTCCGCCAGCCTCGGTGGCGAGAGCCTGCTCCGGCCAGCGGGCGCCGGCGCCGACCGGGCACCGAGGCCTTGGCGGAAACAGCCGAAACGCACGAGCAGGGGCCGCAGGAAGCTGGCGAAACTGGCGCGCCAGGGGAAGCGGCAGCAAAAGCAGCGACAAAAGCAACTGCGGCGGAGAAGGGCCTGAAACAGGGCTGAAACCGGGGCGGGCAGTCTCAGCAGCAGACGGCTGAGATCGGAGCGGTCAGTCTCAACAATAGACGGCTGAGATCGGAGCGGTCAGTCTCAGCTGCAGACGGCTGAGACTGCTCGGCGACCCGCTCTAACCAATGTGTGAAGCAAGGACGATGTCGAGCAGCCATCAGCGCTGTGATTTATCATTCATCGCTTTCTACCACAGCTCGGCCTGGTCTTCGCACGTGCAAACGTATTTTTGCTGTGCTGGCGGTATCCTTCTTAGCCACATTGATTTCTACAGGGTTTTATGCACACATTCATATGCTACCGCTTACCTGTTGCTTTTACTTCACCTTTACGTACGTTGCCAATGCATTCCGTCAATACGCTGCTTTCGTAGTTATACCCTCCCATCCCACTTTAAATCCGACGCTTATTTTGTGTGCAACAAACGACTGGCCTGGCATTTGCCGGACGCTGAAGTGAATATTTTGTACCACGGCGCTCGAACACGAGATCCACGCAATCTGCGGTGGTACGGCTCCTGCATTGCCTACATGCTCGTGTTGCTTCTGTTTTATCGCCTACGTAGTGACGAGGAACCCGATATGCCATGGTATGCTCCATGAATACTCGCTCGTATACACACCGTGAAATGAGATAATTTTCTTTTAGAAATCCACATGCAAAGCCTCTCACCCGTTAAACCATGCGTGAGCCGTCGTTACAACACGGCCGGAGCTCGTGTAGCGGGGAGTTGGCGAGCAGAGATTCATAGTCAAGCCCAGCACACAGCGTGTCGCGTTCGCGCCAAGTGGGGTACCGGTGGCGCGGTGGTCACGCTGCGCGTCTGCGAAATCCTAATTGCGATGTTCGATCCCGCGGTGCCCGCCGTTCCTGCCAGGGAGAGGCAGGCGACGCTATGCAGCTTCAGCAGACGGGCGTGTCGTAAAGCTGCGATGACACCACTCACGCAATGCGCACCAGGCCACAGACGGGCCCAGCCGAGGCCAGCGGTATACGCGAGCACAGCCTCGGTACGGTCCGTGTATTGCCTCCGCTGTCACGGGCAGACGGGTCCCGCACACAGAGGCGGGGCGCCTCCCGACCGCCAACCGCCACCACCAGCCGAGACTCACTGCGGCCGGCGACAACCACCAACCATCACAACAGCCCGAGGTCGGGGCACGGGGCGCGTCACGCCTCCCTCCCCTTTCGGCGGCCGCCAAAGCCGAGGCGGCGCGGGGAAGGCACGCCCATCCCCGCCCGAGGCCACACAGCGGGGGACGAGCGGACCCCGGGGCGGTGGGATGCAGCCCACCACCAGGCGCGGACCACGCGGCGGTGGCGGACCGTGCGACCGGCGGCCAAACACGCAGTAACAAACCGACAGAGCGACCACGGTCGGGAGTATTGGGGGCAGCGCGCTGACAGGCCAGCGGCCACGGCGATTGGCAAGGATGTGGTAAGCGAGCGAACGTAAAGCTTGGTCGGAATGACAACCACACGGCGAGGAGACTCATCAACGGCGTTCAGGAATGGCACACGAGCAAAACACAAAAACCCTCCGAGAGCAGCTACACCAGCACCGGACGCAACGTTGCAGCATTACTGCTATGCAGGTACAGTGAATATCAAACCAACAACAAACAGACTGCAGCGTACAAAACCACGCCAATGCAGGTACAATAATGTCAGTACAAGCGTTGTTAGTGAACCATCACAACCTGCACCTACTCCGGCAGCGCACAAGAGGCGTCGCCCTAATTCATCTATGACAGTGGAAGACAAATCGCCTGGGTTTCCCCGTCCAGTTCGAGCCGGCACACGCCCACCAACCGCACGGCAGTCGGCCAGCGGCAGTCCCTCGCGGACCAGCACGCGCCGCCGCCATCCAGAGCGGGCCACCCGAAGCTGTCGGCCACCGCCTCACGCCTGAACCGGAGGTGGGGGCGCGGCCCGCCCGTGGGGCGGGGACAACCGCTCACAGCTCGCCCAGCTCCTCGTCGTCGGTCTCGCCGTCCACCAGGATCTTGTCCTTGATGGACGGCATGGATGAGGCGCTGGTGCGCGCTCTGGAGCGGACGGCGCGAGGCGCTGGTCAGCTGTCTGTGCGTGACTACGCGCACGTGTGTGAAGGGAGGGAGAAGGCGCCAAGCTGGCGCACATGCTAACGCGCGCCGGGAGCCCGACAGGAGGCGCCCAGACTACCGGGAGGAGCGCACTTCACGAAACACTTCTGAATAGGGGAAGCATTCCATTCTGTTGAAAATGTGACTGACTAAATAGGGGACAACAGGTGACAATGACGTCACCGTCCATTCAGTCGTTAGGTGGACATACCCAGAACATGCCTTCGGCATACCAGGCTCAATCCAGGCGAACCAACAGTGGCCATCCCGAGAGATCCCACCAGCCTGATGCGTCGTGGGCAATCCCGGCCCGACACGGGCGGCGCACCAGCAGCCCTCCCACGTGGTCCGTGCCCCCTTCCCATCCACCACGGCCACGTCACTGGCCGGCCCCTGAGTCGACCCGACACATCGACCGCGCGACACTCAGTCAACGCTAGCCCGCCGTCGGCGCCTGACTCAGTGTATCGAGCGTCGGGTCCGAGGTGGCGTGCCGCCCGACATGACGGGCGGGGGGGGGGGGGGGCTGACCTGGCCTGCAGATGCTGCAGCTGCACGGACAGGCTGTCCACCTGCTCCTGCAGCTCCTCGTTGGTGCGCACCAGCCGGCGCTGGTTGGTGGTGCTGCTGTCTACCTCATCCTCCACGCTGCCCAGCTCCCGCTTCAGCTCGTCCACGCGGCCCCGCAGGCGCCGCACCTGGCCGGCCGCGGACACGGCGACGGGTCAGCCGGGCCCCACCGCCAGCGGGGCGGTGGCAGGCCGGAGGTCAGGGTACACAGTGGTCAGGGTATACAGTGGTCAGGGTATACAGCGGTCAGGGTATACAGTGGTCAGGGTATACAGTGGTCAGGGCATACAGTGGTCAGGACGTACAGTGGTCAGGGTACACAGTGGTCAGGGTATACAGTGGTCAGGGCATACAGTGGTCACGGGATACAGTGGTCAGGGCATACATTGGTCAGGGCATATAGTGGTCAGGGCATACAGTGGGCAGGGCATACAGTGGGCAGGGCATACAGTGGTCAGGGTATACAGTGGTCAGGGTATCCAGGGAAGGAGGGCCAGGGGCCAATCAGAGAATCAGGGGCAGACCGCGGGGTCGGGAACAAACCAGAGGAGAGTCGGGAGCAGACCGAAGTTTCGTCAGGAGTGAGCTGGGGAAGGTGAGCGCAACAGTAAGCTGAGGACTGAACACGCAAGAGGCATGTCCACCATGGTCCATGCAAATGCTTGGACCTAGCCAAAGATATACATCAAGTATCTTGTGCATAAAGCTGTGTGTCAGGCGCAACATCTGTCTGTGTAGCGCTCGCCACATAAACAGATGTTGGACACACCAGCAGGCTTTGGACCTTGATGCATGGCCTTAGCCCAGGACAGACGATAGGTACGCCAATGCACTATCCGAAACTGGATTGCATTCCAGGCCAAACAGAATTAAACGACTCCAGTGTTCAGCACTGTTGGTGGAAAGAACAGGTCACTAGAGGGAAAGTATACAAGGCAGAAGTGATATACAGAAAACCAAGAGCCACATCTCAGTTCCTCTCAAAACAAAACCGTGCAAAAATAGCGCACAAAAACACGAAATGGTCCTGCACAACTGCGGGACGCGGGTAAAAGGCACACGATTCAAGGAAGCTACGTCATGCATATTTGCAGCGTATGTAGGCCTGCTGGCATCCGTTGCAAACTCCAGCACATCCCAGAAAGAAAGCGTCGCCTTACAAAACCCAGATTGCTAACCCGATGCCCGACCAACGTGACACAGACTCGCGTTCAGCCAGAGCCCAGCCTCGCACCCCACCTCGGCCTCGAACTGCTCTGCCCGGCGCATGGCGTGCGACAGCTCGGTCGTCTTCTCCTGCAGCACCTTCTTCAACTTGCTGTGCGCGTGCTTCAGCTCGGAGAGTTCTCGACTCTTTTCGAACACCTGGGCGGGGCACGGGCGGCCTGAGCATGCGCGGAGACCACACCGGGACGGCTAGGGCGGCTAGAACGGCGCGTGCCTGGAGCGCGGCCCGCAGGCGGGTGCAGGTCTCGCTCACTACGGGCGCGTTACAGGCGCCTGGCGCCACTCTCAGCCAGCACAGCCCGCGAGTTAGCGGGTGGATCAGTCACAGCACTCCACGGTGAACGGCACCACGACTAGTTCCGGCATCGGCTACCTCCCAGCAGCATCCTGTCAGCAGGCAGCGCGCTGCGACCCCGACCCTCTGACGTCCGGGCCAGCAGATGTCGGTGCGAGCGCGAGCCGCCGCCGGCCACGGCTGGGGCAGGCTCGCGCTCGGAGGCCCGACGGCCGGGCGGCTCACCTCCGACTGCAGCTGCTTGTTCTCGGTCTCGGCCGCCTGGCTCAGCTGGCGGCTGCGCTTCTCCAGCCGCTCCTCCAGGTCCGCCACGTGCGCGCGCAACTTCTTGTTCTCCCGCTCCACAGAGACCTGCAGCGCGGCGCGCCGGCGCCGGCGGTTCACGAACACGACAAGCACCAGGCTTTTCTACTTAGATGCAGTGGGATGTATGCATGGCTCATAATCCACAGAAGGAACTGAAACAAATTTGAATCGCTGGCTTCCGACGCCAATGTGGCCATGACATACCGTGCTATTGGTTGATTGCACGAATGGTTCAGACTTGATTTCAAGTTACTGAATGAGCCAGGACTCCTTCAACAACACACAACACAAATGGTGTCCAAGGATTTAAGCTTTTCCTGAAAATTCCTTGTCCTGTTAGGTATCGTGCAAATACACATGCTCTTCCATTCGTCAAAAAAGGAAACTTGTCGATCTAGAATGTAGGCAGGCACTTTCTGACCACTTCTCATGTTGCCTCTCTCACTCTTTGCGAATGACATGGCATGGCATAAGAGATACGAAATCCGGACAGCAGCAATAGGGAATATTACAGAGACTAAGCGCTGCTAACACCAACATGGTCACTTCTCCGCAGCTGTCCTCAATAGCCGCTCATAGTTCTACTTCCGCTGTGGGCCTTCACTGCAGCGGCGACGCGGCGGCCGCTGCACAGGTCCGGCGCGTCCCCACCACCTCGAGCCCATCGCCCGGCTGCGCTGCCCGGCTCGCCAGCTGACCTTGTCAGTCTCGATGCGTTCGCGGCGCTCCCACTCGGCGGCGTTCTCTGCCTGCAGCCGCTCCAGCTCGGAGCGCAGCTCAGCCACCTGCAGGTCACGCACCTGTCGACACGGAGCCGGGCGAGCTGGGTCGTCAGCGGACCCGGCCCGGCCAGAGGACGGGACACAGCCGGGCGCTCGGCCGCGCACGGCCACATGGGCGGCGGACGGAGCCGGGCGCTCGGCCGCGCACGGCCACATGGGCGGCGGACAGAGCCGGGCGCTCGGCCGCGCACGGCCACATGGGCGGCGGACAGAGCCGGGCGCTCGGCCGCGCACGGCCACATGGGCAGCGGACAGCGGCCGGGCGCTCGGCCGCGCACGGCCACATGGGCGGCGGACGGAGCCGGGCGCTCGGCCGCGCACGGCCACATGGGCGGCGGACAGAGCCGGGCGCTCGGCCGCGCACGGCCACATGGGCGGCGGACGCAGCCGGGTGCTCGGCCGCGCACGGCCCACATGGGCGGCGGACAGAGCCGGGTGCTCGGCCGCGCACGGCCACATGGGCGGCGGACATAGCCGGGTGCTCGGCCGCGCACGGCCACATGGGCGGCGGACAGAGCCGGGCGCTCGGCCGCGCACGGCCACATGGACAGCGGACAGAGCCGGGCGCTCGGCCGCGCACGGCCACATGGGCAGCGGACAGCGGCCAGGCGCTCGGCCGCGCACGGCCACATGGGCGGCGGACGGAGCCGGGCGCTCGGCCGCGCACGGCCACATGGGCGGCGGACAGCGGTCGGGCGCTCGGCCGCGCACGGCCACATGGGCGGCGGACGGAGCCGGGCGCTCGGCCGCGCACGGCCACATGGGCGGCGGACAGAGCCGAGCGCTCGGCCGCGCACAGCCACATGGGCGGCGGACAGAGCCGGGCGCTCGGCCGCGCACGGCCACATGGGCAGCGGACAGCGGCCGGGCGCTCGGCCGCGCACGGCCACATGGGCGGCGGACGGAGCCGGGCGCTCGGCCGCGCACGGCCACATGGGCGGCGGACAGAGCCGGGCGCTCGGCCGCGCACGGCCACATGGGCGGCGGACAGAGCCAGGCGCTCGGCCGCACACGGCCACATGGGCGGCGGACAGAGCCGGGCGCTCGGCCGCGCACAGCCACATGGGCGGCGGACAGCGGCCGGGCGCACGCAATGAGATCACGTGGGTAGACACAGAATAATGGTAATCACAGGATTCCCCCCGCTCCTCCTCCCCACCGAAACCACCAGAAACGACCGAAACGACCATCATCACCGAAACGACCAGCTTGTTGATGACCAGACTTTTAGCTCTCGCATTTTTTTCCAGTCAATACAGCTGACAGTGATGTTCCTCCACTGAAGCATCGCTCACCTAAGGCTGGAGAGCCAAATGAGCGTGTCAGGTAGCGCGAAAATCAGCGCTTAAGGCGCAGGGGTCCCCTAATCGCAGGGGGTGAATATGTCGGCCGCTCGATATGTGCTCACCCCTCGTAATTTGAGAACCGCACGCGACCAACGCGCTATACTTCCACAGAACTTAAATTACGAGAGTTGCATCTCTCCAGCACGCAGCATCAAGATGACGCCGATCGCGATCATCTTGAAACCCCGATCGAAGAGGAGAGCATGTGATCGCACTACGTCGGTCCTGGAGCGGGACCTCTTCAGACTTAGCCTGAACACGGCACGACTTAAATTGCCCCCACGCGGCAGTAAGCTCTAGCCCTCGTTACTATACCCCGACATTAAGACGGGATACATTACACCGTTAGACGGAAGGACTCTGCGGAGAAAGTGGCGATTACACAGCAGCGCCAGAGCCGCTCAGCCCCATCCACGTGGCCCCGTCACCGTGCGCCATCAGCGGCGCGGGAGCCCGGGCCGCCGGCGGCCGGCGCTCTCCGCGGGCGCGCCGCCCGTGCGCACCTCTCGGCTGGACGTCTCGTCGCGCAAGTCCAGCTGAATGCTGGTCAGCTGGTTCTCGTGCTGGGCGCGCAGCTCCATCAGCTGCTTGAGCGTCTCCTGGCGCGAGAGGCGCACGTCGTCGAGTCGCGAGCGCAGGTCGGAAGCGTCCTGGCGCAGAGACTCCACCGTGCGCTGCAGCGCCGCCTTCTCCCTGTCGGAGAGCGCACGGCCGGCTACCGGGATAGGCCGCGACGGCCGACGCCAGGGCAGGGCAGACAGCCGGAGACCCGGGGCGGATAGACCGTCACACGACATTCGACAGGGAGGGGGCGGCCAACGGGGAGGCCCGCCGTGGGATGCAGCGGCGGCGACATCACTGCAACGAATATGAGCAACGTTGTGAAAAATAACAGAGACGGAGACAGAGAACAGAGGACGGAGGACAGCTGACAGAGGACAGAAAACAAACACAAAGACAGAGACAGAGGGAGAGGGAGAGAAAGAAAGAGACACAAAGTGACATCTGTTCAGCATGGGTCGAAAAAGGATCGGACACGATGGCATGGAAACAAAAACGACTATAACTTGAAAACATACGAAACTGGCATATAACTTACGGGTGGGATGATGTACAATGCTAGGCAGCATTCTAAATGTCAAATAATGTATTATCCATTTCAACACATGCATGCACTGTTCGCCATAGACAGAGGCGAGTTTGTGCGCCGGCTTACTCTCGCTCCAGCTGTAGGGCCTTGTCGCTGGTCTCGAGTCTCTGCCGGAGGGCGGCCGTGTCCGGCTCACGGGCGCGGGGCGAGGTGGCCGGCTCGTCCTCCCGCGGCCTCGCCGGCCCGGCCGGCTCCGGCTCGGGCCCGCGCTGCGATCGCGGCTCGCCGCCCGGCCAGGCGCGCTCGCCCTCCAGCCCCAGCAACAGCCCCAGCTCGGGCGGCTCGGCACGCGGCGCCGGCGGCGCGCGCTGCTTGGGGATGGCGCCACGCTGCGCCTCCGTCACGCGGAACTCGCCGAGGCCGAAGGTGGCGGCGGCGCACTCGGTGAGCGGGTCGGGCGGCGCCGGCAGGCGGCCGGCAGGCGCGGTGGCCGCCGCCTGGCGCAGCTCGGCCAGCGCGCTGACCGGTCCGCCACACTCGCAGCGCTGCACCAGCAGCCGCTTCATGTGGTCCAGCTCGGCCGCCAGCGACTCGTTCTCGGCCTCGATCTCGTGGCGGTCGCGCTTGACGGCGGCCGTCTCCTTCAGCGCCGTCTCGAGCCGGAGACGGACGGTGCGCAGCTCCTCACGCGCCTTGTTCCGCTCGGCGCGCACCTGCAGAGGGAGAGGGGGAGCGCAGCTCAGCGATCGGGCGCCGGCGCCGCGGGGGTCACCTCCAAAACAAGCGGCGGGGGTGGTCCGGCGGGCAGGGGCGATCTAGCAGAACCCTGATAGACACTCACACGACCAGGACTGTGTGACTGCTTCACTTGGCCGTTGTGGGGGGATCCATGAATTCGACTCATCCTCGCC